GCGATGTTCAGGTAAAGGCCTTTGCGCTAGGCTACCTCGCAATTGAGGAGGACGAAACTCCAAGGTCGGTTCGACGCCCTGAGGCCTTCATTTCGCCCCACCTCCGCCTTAACCTGACCACAAGGCTGCAGAATCCCAAGTAGGACCCTTTCTCATAAATGTTATTACTGTTTTAAAAATGATAGCTCAAAATTACTCTACATCAGTGTTGTTTTGTGCCCCACCTTTGCTAAAAATTGCGCTTGAAGAGTCATTTAAACTGTAGTTTTTCTTGTTATTCGCAGTTAAGTTAATAGGCAAAACCCTGACCGCTGCCATCTTCAGGCCAGGTTCCTTGTGGGAAGAAGAAAAAGGGGGAGATCAGAGTGAGAGGAAAAGTATGTTCTGTGCAGAGTTAATGGAGAGCAGGCTGGAGTAAGTGAAAAGTAGGACGAGCGTGCGTCCGCATCCGAGAGGGACAGCGTCTGAAGTGTGGGAATCAGCCTTGAAGGTGATTGGCCAGACCGAAGTTGAGTAGCCAGAACACTTTCTAGCAGCCGTGAGAGGCTGAGTGGTCGCCACAGAGTCTTCCAGGGAACCTACAACACAACAAGAAACCTGTCTAGTAGCATACAGAGAATGTATCAGGAAGTATGGCAACATAAAAATTGGGTTTTGGCTAATACTGAATCAAGTTCGTTTTACTGATACTGGGGCCGCTTAACTACAATAGGACACCGTCTGTTCCTTTGATTGTGGTAACAAGCCTCCTGTGCTTTCGGCCAGTTTGCGTGAATGAAGTTTTAAGTTAAGCGTTGGACCGACCCAGTGAGGTATTAAGTTCTAAAATGTATAAGCCCTTCCTTCAGTGCCATAATGGCGGTGATGGTGGTGAGGCTGTTGCAGTTTCTGTGTTGGTATTCCGTGACAGTGGTGGTGGTAATGGTGTCGGACCTCTAAATGGGTCGCGTGATAGATGTGCTGGACCAACACGCGGGAGCTGATCAGGGTACGGTAGGCGTTATTCGGTTTGCGCTCCCGTAAAAAGGCTTAATGTTAGCGGAGGGGGGGGCGTGATGGCACGCGTAGGGGCGGCTTTAACCGCGCCAGCTGCTTGCATCCGATCCCGACTCCAGCCGCTTTGACTCTGACTTGACACCGAGCAAATGTGAGTGAGAGGAGAGATAGTGCCGTAGGCTCTGCGCAAGACCACTATCGCTTTAACCTAATTCACACGAAAGTCACTGTCAATGCTTCACCTTCATGTGGGCCGTACGGTGGGCTTCCTTATAAAAAACACCGTATTGGCTATGCATAACTTACTACTTATTTTGTTTTAGTTTATTATTACGAGCTATTAGTTCATAATTTAGTTTGATTAATTTTAATTTAGTTTTAGCTTATGCAAGCGAACATGCGAGTCCCAGGAAGTAATTGAGAAGGACATGACTCGATCGCTGGGACAATACTTTTATTCGCCCGACGTTTCAAGATCCGTCGCGGATTAATCATCAGACATAAGTAGATAGCAGTAACAGATACGGTTAGCGTATGCCCATGAGTTTGCAGTATTTATAGGCTACAGTCATTACTGCAAACATACAATGACAATTAACGGTAAGTGTCTTCTTGTGTGTCGATAGTTTGTTGAGCGGCATGCGGACCCTGATCATCACGCGTGGTGGCCTGTCGGTTCCCCAAGTTGCGAATTGCTTTGGCCAAGTTGAGTCTCAGCAGCGAATATGGATCGGGAAAATTGCTGCACTTGTTTATGGGTCGGGGACCCGTGACTAAAGTAATTCTCGGCTCACCCGATTGTCACCTCTTACGAGAATGTCGGCCTCTTCAAATTTGAATGTGTGGACGGGTCTCGCCGAATGAACTGCGACTTGAGAATTGGCATCATTGCTGGGTGAATCCACGAGGGATTTCGAAACGTCAGGAGAATAAAAGTATTGACCCAGCGATCGAGTCGTCTTCTTCTCAGTTTTAGCTTACTATAAATTTAGATTGGTTTATTTTTAGTTTAGTGGAGTTTCAGTCTAGCTTAGTTTTTAGTTTATTATTTAATTTTATTATGTTACTTTACTTTACTTTAGTTAGTTAGTTTTGCTTTAGTATTATTATTTTTTGCTTTTCTTTTCCTGATATGCTCTACCCACAAAACCCATTTTACTCCCGGTCCCATATTACAAAAATCTGGGGGCTTTGCTACTGTGATGTTCCTTATAAGGAATCCTTAACACCACGCCTTTTACCTTCTCAGACTTGACCTCGAATTCGTGGATGACCACGGTCGCCAACTTGACCTACATCTGAGCGAAATGCTGACTTTCGGTGGCAGGAGTAGCCCTGCAGCCCAGGAAATTCAACTGCCCGCCTCTATGTACTCCTTCCTGGTCACCGAGTCAGAAT